ATACCAATTTCTGTTTAAAACTATTTACAAAGATGTGGTTGGGAAGGTTTTTCTACACCCGGCTTATAGTCCATACTTTGCCCCGTCCGCCTACTATTTGTTTCGATTAAAACCTAACGCTCTGCCTGTGGAATACGCTTCAGATTAGGATTCCCGAAATTGGCTTGGACATTATTGGTCTTTCTGGGATATCTTTTACTCCAGAAAGATAGCAAAAGGTCAGAGCTAACCATGGCCAATACTTTAAATAAATTTATACTGTACAAATTTACCACCAAATTTACCATGACCTTATTTAGGATGCCATTCGCCGACCCGCAATCCACATTAAAAATCGAATAACTGTAAATCATCTTAAAAACATCTTTTCGACTTTTTGCATTTTATGAAAAGTCGATTTTTCGACTTTTCGACTTTTTTCATTTAATTAAAAGTCGACTTTTAGACATTTCGACTATAAATAGTCGACTTTTCGACTTTTCTCGACTTTTCGACTTTTTCCGACTTTTTTCGACTTTTTCCGACTTTTCGATTTTTTTCAACTTTTTGACTATTTTCGACTTCTTTAGAATTTTTTTCGACTATTTTTTGACTTTTTTCGAGTTTTTCCGACTATTTTAGAGTTTTTGACTTTTTTTCCACTTTTTTAAAATTTCCGACTATTTTTGACTTTTTTCTACAATTTTCGAGTTTTCGACTTTTTCCGACTTTTTTCGACTTTTTACGACTTTTCGACTATTTTCGACTTTATTCGACTTTTCGACTTTTTTCGACTTTTTTCGACTTATCGACATTCCGACTTTCAGACTTTTATTAACAAAGTCGCCTTTTTGACTTTTCTAACAGACGATAGTCGAGTTATCGACTTTTTTGGAACATAATAGTCGACTTCGACTTTTCGACTTTTTTCGACAAAAAGTCGATTGTTCGATTATTCAAAAGTCGATTTATAGAACCCTAGTAACAGTGTCTAAGAAGTTTTATTTAATAGCATATTTTAAGGCATTATTAAAATATATTGGATATTAAGGAAATGTTGAAGTTAACTTTGAACTTTTAATTTGTAAATTACCAGTTTAAGGTGAAGAATTTTAAGACACCACATAGTCGAATCTAACTTGTTAATAACAAAATTGAAATTTCTTAAAATTTACATTTACAATCCACTGTGCACTTAAGTTTTGTTGAAATTTTGTTCATGTCATTATAAATGTTTTGTTTTTCTTATTTATATACCTAAATTATGGGAGTACTTAGTACTGGAAAACTTATTTATTTAGTTTTTATCATACAATTATAGCTACTTACATACATACAATATATTTGTATAGATATATACACATACACATTTATCTGCTACTATTTATTTATAACTAACTTAATTATAATTACTAGCTAAATGAAGACGTTTTTTAAATTTACAATTTTATTCAGAAAACTTTGTTTTACATGCACATCATAAGAGTGTTGGGTGGCATAGGGAAGTGAGGAGGTTTGGGGGGTATCTGTGCTTAAGAGTTGCAAAACAAAGTTCGAAAAATTTTGTGTCTTCATTATGTTTTTCTTTTGCTTATAAACGAATTTTAGTAGAACTTTACGCTATATCGAATCTTTTAGGGGATTGTTGTTTTGTTTGTTTGTTTATTATTTAAATAGAAATTTACAAATTTATTTAATATTATTTAATAAACTTAAATTAAATTTACTTATTTTAATAAGTACTTAGCTAAGGTTTCAAAAATTCTAAAAAAAAAAAAAACATTTTTGTTTTAATATTTTTATATAAATATAAATTTAAATTAATTTAATCTTTAACTTATAACTATTTAATTTTAAACTAATACTTATTTGTAGGAAACTATTTTAAACTAAATATATTTACAAAATTTTTTATTCCCTTTTTATTTAATTTAATTTAATAACTTGTCTATATTTAAGTGTAATAATTTCCCTTTTTTTATTTACTTCGTTTTTTTTTTGTTGGTTTATTTAATTTTTAAATAAAATTTTTAATAGTTTTAAGTAAATTATATTTTAGTATTATTTTTTTGTTGGTTAAAAAAACAACTTAACTTTAAATAAAACTGAAATTAAGTTTTTACTTAAAGTTTGATATGTATGTCTTTTTTTATATTATTACAATTTATTTAAATTATTTGTTTGAGTTTGTTTTGTTTGTTTTTTAAAAAATAAAATAATAATATTTTTTGTTATTGTTGGGAGGTGGTAATAAAACAATTTAAAATTAGTTTTTTTTATAAATTTAAGCTTATTCATATTGCTGTTGGTTTTATTGTTATATTAGTTTGTTGTTGTTTTAATTTTTTTTTTCGTTTTTTGGTCCAAGCTTTTATTTATTGTAAAAATAAAATTTAATTAAAAATTTAATAAATTTATAAAGAGATTAAGAGTGTGAGTTACTTTGATTGTGTTCGAGTTAATTATTATTGTGCGTGTGTTTATGTTGTATTTGTTTTTTGTATGTATTTAGAATGGACCAGTTCTTAAAATATTACTTTGGATGGTGTTAACTTTTCAGATATTTCATATAAATGTTAAACAATTTAGGAGCAATTTTCGTTATAGTTATTTTAAACTCAATTGGCCTTAAAGTTTCCATTTAATTGGGATACTACTTAAAGAAAAGTAAGACCCCTCCATAGAGATAGTTTAAGAACAGGATCAATATAGAGTTTTATAAAAGTTTTTTTTTAATGAAACCAAGTATACAAAATTTTGGAAGCTTTTTTTGTTGTTGCAAGAAATGAAAATTATTATTAGTTTAGTTAAAAATAAGAGATTCACAATAGATGACGTTTCTTTTCAACGTGGTTTTTCTTTTTAGTAATAAATTAAACGTCATTTTGAAGAGTACACATCCGTTATTTATTCTCACTTAGTTATTAAACATATTATCAACAACAACAACTTTTTTAAATTCGAAAATGTCGAATTTTGTACTAACATATTGTCGTTTGTTCCTCGAAGCTTATATTGAATGCGTTTTATCGGATTCAACATTCCAGAGATGGTTTGTGTGGTTCAGAAGGATTGACTTGGCAAAGATCGCCTGCAGTGTCAGTCAAAAAAGTTAGAACACTAAGAATTGTAGGCACTACTCCATTAAGATCATTTGTGTGGATCGATTTGACAAAAATCGCCTGCAAGGCCAGTCCAAGATATTTGAGGACTAAGAATTGGAGGCATTATTCCATCAAGATTGTTGTCAAACTTAACAAGAGCTTGCAAAGTCTTTGGGAGCTACTCAAGCGGCAATTTTAAAACATTTTTTGGCCACCATACGAAATGGATCCATTACGATAACTCGAAATGTAAGAGATCCAAATATCAATGTCGCTAAGGTAATGAACCTGTATTTAGTGTGTCCAATCTATTATGAGTTGCTGAAAACTGAAAAGATCATTAAAAGGTACTTGTGCCGAATGCAACTAAATCCTTTTGAGGCCAGACATGAACACTTAATATTCTAACATGGAATCGTCCTACTACTATTTGTTTCGATTGATGTAGAACACCCTCTCTGGAATTGGCTTCGCTTTAGAACAGCTTATTCGAAATGCTTCGTTCTTGGAATCAAAAGCTGAACATCCATATGTTACCAGAAAGATTCAAACTAAAGAATTTACAATAATCCCGTATTTTTAAGTCATACACCCAAAATCATCAAAATAGAAAAAATGGAGTATTTTCTTTTTGATAATGTTAGTGGAATTTTCGTTTAGGGCCAAAATATTTTAACTAAATAGTAGTTTTGACTATTGTTCAGACTATAGTCCCGACTATAGTTTAGACTATATTAGAGACTATAGTTTATATTATAGTCCCGATTATAGTTCAGACTATATACATAGTCCTTGCTATAGTTTAATTTATAGTCTTGACTATAGTTTCATCTATAGTCATTGCTATAGTTCAATCTATAGTTCTGACTCTAGTTTAGACTTTATTATAGTTCAGACTATAGGTTATAAACTAAATTATAGTTGGTATTACAGTCTATACTACATTTTAGAATATAACCCCGAATATTTTTTAGATTATAGCCAAGACTAAAGTCCCAATTGTAGATAAGATTAAAGCCCACAGTACAGTCCAATCTATGGTTTAAACTATCCTTTGGAGTAAGGTCCTGGATATAGTTTAGACTATAGTTCTGACTATAGTTTAGACTGTAAACCTGACTATGTTGTAGACTATAGTCTGTAGTTCAGATTATAGGCTATAATCTTAATTATAGTTCGGATTACATTCCAGATTACATATTAGAATATAGCCTTGACTATATCACCGAATATAGATTATATTAAGTCCAAATAATAGTACTATCCATGGTTTAGACTATAGTAAAGAGTAAAGTCTAGAATATAGTCTAAAGTATAGACTATAATCCTGACTATAGTATAGACTTACTAATTTTAAAGTCGAAACTATAGTCTTTCCTATAGTTTAGACATTAGTCCTGACTTTAGTCTTGTCTATAGTATAGACTAAGTCATGACTATAGTTAACACTATAGTCCTGGAAATGGTTTATACTATAGTTCTAGCTATATTTAAGATGATAGTCCAGACTATAGTTCAGATTATAATGTTACTTACAGTCCAGACTATAGTTTAGAATATAGTCTAGACCATAGTAAAGACCCTAGTCTAGAATATATCTTAGAATATAGTCAAGACTACAGTTTAGATTAACAATACACTATAGACCAAACTATATTTTAGACATTAGTCCTGACTATAGTTTAGACTACAATACATATCATAGTTTTTAATATATTGAAACTTTACTTTATCTTAGTGAATCGAATATTTGAAAAGTTGTTTAAAAATAATTTTCATTTCAAATCAACAAGTAAGATTTTTACAAATTATTCATAACCATAGACATTCCAAATTTGTTTTTTTGTTTAAAAAGTGTTAAAAAATTAAAATTCTAAATATATTTTGTAGACCTATTACATTTTTGGCTCACTTCGATTTTCCTTTTAATAATTTTAAACATTTTCTTTTTTCAAATATACAACACTTAAAAATTAGTTTTCATTGTTAAATCTAATGCCGAAATTGTTTTTCATATATATATGTAAGTGTATATATAATATATTTAGTTTTCATTATTACTTTTGCCTAAAATACAAAATACAATAATATTTCTAAACGTCCAGACTTATTCATCGAGATCAACAAAATGTGATCAGTCATCATAAAACACCGGCAATAAAACCAAACAAAATGTTAATTCAGTTGAATGTAGGGTGTATAAAAAGTTAAATAGTAGTAGTCGTTATTAGAAGTTGACTGCTACTATGGAAAAATAAACAACCTTGTTTTAATGAGTCTAAATGCTCACATACGATTAACTGGAAGTACAATTGTAAGGATCTTCGGCACGAAAATTTGGATGATCTTCGTAGGGCTTAACGCCGGCAGCTTTCTTTTCATCACGTACTTTTTCCACCTGTTGCATGACACGCAAAAAATTACCCCCAGCCAATTTGGTTAAATCTTCCATTGACCAACCCACCCCTAAGAGTTCAGCAAATAGGGTGGGGTAAGAGGAAACATCTTCGAGACCTTTTGGTGTGCTGAAAGTAAAATGGAAAAAAGCAACAATTAGTTTAATGTCTAAAGTTTGTATATTTTAAAGAAATGTAAATATGTATTTATTACCAATAATAGCTACTTATATATAATTTATTTGTTATTTAGATTTATTATTTTTTTTAATTTTTTTGAAATAACCAAACAACAACATTTGTTATTTGCCTAAAGAAAAGACCTTTTTGATATTTATAAAAACATGCTATAAATTTTCGACAAAATGTCAATCTGTTTTAACATATTTCCACATGTCAACCTGCTAAAAAGGCCACATAAGTATAGGCGAACCTACTACATTAGATTTATACATACATTGAAAACTCGTGCCTGGCTATTCAAGCAACCGGAAATATTTGAGTCTAGCAATGCCTAGATACAATATCCTTTTTGGTGTATATATGTATGTACAAGTATGGAGGGCAAAATATATACATATATTCGTATTACAACACGTTTTAACTATGTTTACCTAAAACTTTTTTTGCTTTACAGATCTGACCAATATGATTGATGTATATGTGTATGTTTTTAATTTTGATTTTAACAAAATACCCTTCTAAAGTCCAGATTATAGACTGTTCTGTAGTCCAGACTGTTCTTTAGTCCAGACTATAGATTGTTCTATAGTCCAGACTATATACTGTTCTACAGTCCAGACTATATACTGTTCCATAGTCCATACTATAGACTGTTCTGTAGTCCAGACTATATACTGTTCTATAGTCCATACTATAGACTGTTCTATAGTTGAGACAATGGACTGTTCTGTAGTCCAGACTATAGACTGTTCTATAGTCCAGGCTATAGACTGTTCTTTAGTTGAGATTATAGACTGTTCTATAGTTCAGACTATTCTATAAACCAGACTATAGACTGTTCTATAGTCCAGACTATAGACTGTTCTTTAGTCCAGGCAATAGACTGTTCTTTAGTTGAGACTGTGGACTTTTCTATAGTCAAGACTATAGACTGTTCAATAGTACAGACTATAGACTGTTCTTTAGTTGAGACTATAGATTGTTCTTTAGTTGAGACTATAGACTGTTCTATAGTCGAGTTAATGAACTGTTCATACTATAGACTGTTCTATAGTCGAGTTAATGGACTGTTCTGTAGTCAAGACTATAGACTGTTCTATAGTCCAGACTATAGACTGTTCTATAGTCCAGACAATAGACTGTTCTATAGTCCAGACTATAGACTGTTCTATAGTCCAGACTATAGACTGTTCTATAGTCCAGACAATAGACTGTTCTATAGTCCAGACTATAGACTGTTCTATAGTCCAGACTATAGACTGTTCTATAGTCCAGACTATAGACTGTTCTATAGTCCAGACTATAGACTGTTCTATAGTCCAGACTATAGACTGTTCTATAGTCCAGACTATAGACTGTTCTATAGTCCAGACTATAGACTGTTCTATAGTCCAGACTATAGACTGTTCTATAGTCCAGACTATAGACTGTTCTATAGTCCAGACTATAGACTGTTCTATAGTCCAGACTATAGACTGTTCTAACTGTTCTATAGTCCAGACTATAGACTGTTCTATAGTCCAGACTATAGACTGTTCTATAGTCCAGACTATAGACTGTTCTATAGTCCAGACTATAGACTGTTCTATAGTCCAGACTATAGACTGTTCTATAGTCCAGACTATAGACTGTTCTATAGTCCAGACTATAGAATGTTCTATAGTCCAGACTATAGACTGTTCTATAGTCCAGACTATAGACTGTTCTATAGTCCAGACTATAGACTGTTCTATAGTCCAGACTATAGACTGTTCTATAGTCCAGACTATAGACTGTTCTATAGTCCAGACTATAGACTGTTCTATAGTCCAGACTATAGACTGTTCTATAGTCCAGACTATAGACTGTTCTATAGTACAGACTATAGACTGTTCTATAGTCCAGACTATAGACTGTTCTATAGTCCAGACTATAGACTGTTCTATAGTACAGACTATAGACTGTTCTATAGTCCAGACTATAGACTGTTCTATAGTCCATACTATAGACTGTTCTATAGTCCAGACTATAGACTGTTCTATAGTCCAGACTATACTGTTTTATAGACCATAATATAGATTGTTCTATAGTCCAGACTATAGACTGTTCTATAGTCCAGACTATAGACTATTCTATAGTCCAGACTATAGACTGTTCTATAGTCCAGACTATAGACTGTTCTATAGTCCAGACTATAGACTATTCTATAGTCCAGACTATAGACTGTTCTATAGTCCAGACTATAGACTGTTCTATAGTCCAGACTATAGACTGTTCTATAGTCCAGACTATAGACTGTTCTATAGTCCAGACTATATACTGTTCTATAGTCCAGACTATATACTGTTTTATAGACCATACTATAGATTGTTCTATAGTCCAGACTATAGACTGTTCTATAGTCCAGACTATAGACTGTTCTATAGTCCAGACTGTAGATTCTATAGTCCAGACTATAGACTATTCTATAGTCAAGACTATAGACTGTTCTATAGTCCAGACTATAGACAATTCTATAGTCTATTGTATAGACTGTTCTATATTCCAGACTATAGACCGTGCTATAGTTCAGACTGATCGATAGTCCAGACTATAAACTGTTTTATAGTCCATACTATAGACTCTTTTAGAATCCAGACTATAGACTCTTTTATAATCCAGACTATAGACTGTTCAATAGTCCAGACCATTAGTCCATTCCATAGACCGTACAATAGACTTTTCTATAATTCGGACTATAGACTGTCATTGATGACGGATCAGTGATATTTTTAAATTAACTCTTATATTCCAAAAATATTTTTTTTATTCACCCAATTTTATAAGAAAAAAAAAAAAGCCATTAAACTAATAAATTTCAAGTATCTTTTATCTGAAAACTTAAAAGAAAAAATATCTAAATTCTTCATGTCAAGTTTATCATTAGCAAGGTTTCCACTTCTAAATCTTTAGTTTGTATTCAAGTTCGGTCATGCCTGCATTGCTGATAGTCTTCATGCTCGTTTATAAAATAGAAATTTTTGTGTGGAAAGTATAGGATTTTTTCCTCTCTGATTCTTTTGTAAATGAAATACATACAATATAACATAAAATCTTATTCCAGGTCAAATAATATTGACACTTCGATTTATTTTTGTGCTGTGTTTACTTTCATCATCATTCGCATACAATCATCGCCAGTATTACTAACAAACAGCTAAACTCATGTACAAGTTACAGTTTTTTCTCAGGCTTTAGTATTCTCTAAACTGTTCCGGAGGTGCTGGGTGCTGAGAATATTTGACTATATAATAATTGTTTTTTTGAAAAATAATAACTGAAATAATTGAAAAGGAAAATGTTAATACTGACTACATTACAAATTAGCTACGAAAACTAATGTTACGATTGGCTCTTTATTAGATTACCTGTAATGTACAAAGTAAACAATTAAGCTCTATTTGCTTCAAAAATAACCTACATGTATCAATTGCCAAAATAAGTGTTAGATGTTAGCAAACAATTTTTGCCTGGAAGATATACATTGTCTTTTAGAAAACCATAGGATCCTTTCGCCGTTTACACTACATATGTATATCCCAAAAAAACCTTTCAATTTCTATTTTTATATATAAAGCTTTACTTTTAGTTTTGTTTTCTACAGCATTTATTTTGTGTTTGCTACTATTAGTATTGAAACAAGTATTTTACTGCAATCATCATGTTGGCCCTTTAAATAGAGTAAAAAACATAAAAAAACTGCAGGCATTTTTCAAAAGGCGAAAGTAGTAGTTAGAGCAGAAAAAAGTGTATATAAGTAAAAGCTATTTGTTGCTCGTGTTAACGATTTCAGCACTTGAAAGCTTAAAGGAAAGAATATATAGAAAAAAAAACTAAAAAAAATCCTTACAAACACATCATCAGTCACAAAATTTGTTAGCATGTAATGTTTAAGGAATTTTACAGATTTTAGTATTTGGGTTTTTTAGTTTTGCTCTTTTTTCCTTAAATAATATATAGAGGCCTTTCAATCATTTATCTTGTTAGACTTTTCTATGTGTGTTGTTTTTTTCTTTTTTTTTGTTTGCTATTTCTTGGTGTTTCTGTAGTTTTTGTCATTGTTTGTACATATTTGAATTATTCGTATGCCACATTCTTTATGATGCCATTCATGAAGTATTGGCTAAACTGGCTGGACATGTTTATGTTGTTGTTGTTGTGTAGCCACCCTTAATCATTCATCACTTAAGGCCATCTTTAGGTTTATGTAAATAAGGGGGGTTCTCAAAGAAAAAATGTATGTTGTAATTAACTAGAATATGAACTTGTTTTAAACTCGATCATAGACTTGACTATAGACTAGACTATAGACTAGACTATAGACTAGACTATAGACTAGACTATAGACTAGACTATAGACTAGACTATAGACTAGACTATAGACTAGACTAGAATCGACTATAGATTCGACTATAGACTCGACTACCGAATCGACTATAGACTCAACTATAGACTCGACAATAGACTCGGCTATAGACTCGACTATAGACTCGACTATGGACTCGACTACAGAATCGACTATAGACTCGACTATAGACTCGAAAATAGACTCGGCTATAGACTCGACTATAGACTCGACTATAGACTCGACTATAGACTCGACTAAAGACTCGACTATAGACTCGATTATAGACTGGACTATAGACTCGACTATAGACTGGACTATAGACTCGACTATAGACTGGACTATAGACTCAGCTATACCTCAACTAGAGGCTCGGCTATATACTCGAAAGTACCTCGATTACAGACCCGTTTATTGATTCGATTATAGATGCGACTTTAGATATGATTACATTCTCAGTTATTGTTTTTTATGTCTTTTTAAGAAATATGTATGTATATTTCTCTAAGTGTGCCATTCTAATCATCATATAAATTATGCGTGTGTCTAGATTTTTTTGCGCAAACAAGTAGTTAAAGATTAA